TGACAGAGGACCCTGATGGAAAACATAAGTATTCTTGTTCACTCTGAATATTCCAGCATACACTGGAGAATATTTTCAGAGTATTTATAACTTCTCAGAGTTTGGATTATGAGAATAAGGATTCTATTTAAATGTCACATTTAACAAGCTTGGCCACTTACTTGATATGTGACTTTGAGAAAGTGAAATTCTCTGTGCTTCAGCTGTATCATTTACGAAGTAGAGATAATGTGTAGATATTTCATAGAGTTGTTGTGAGAATGTATGCAAAGCATTTAGCAAATTGTAGCTGATTATAGTAAGATTTCAATAAATAGTAGCATGCATTTATTATAAACTTTGTATTTATTTCAGATTGAAGCTTCTTGAAAATAATTTTATGTTCAGCTTGCCCAAAACCTTGGGGAAACGGAGGCAAGTCAGCTTCATAGAAGATCGAGTTGACCTCTGCAGTTTCTCCTCTTTTCTCAAATGAGTTTCTCCATGTCAGAGTTTCTCCTTTTAAAAAGTCCTCTTTCGGCTGGGCACAGTGGCTCACGCCTGTAATCCCAGCACTTTGGGAGGCTGAGGCAAGTGGTTGCTTGAGCTCAGGAGTTTGAGACCAGCCTGGGCAAGATGGCAAAATCCTGTCTCTACAAAAAGTGCCAAAATTATCCAGGCGTGGTGGCGCACACCTGTAGTCCCAGCTACTCAGAAGCTGAGGTGGGAGGATCGCCTGATCCTGGGAAGTCGAGGCTGCAGAGAGCTGTGATTGCGCTACTGCACCCCAATGTGAGCAAAAAGAATCAGACCCTGTCTCAAAAAAATTTTTAATTAAAAATATATTGAAAGGTTCTGTTCATAGTCAGAGGCATCTTTTCTTTTCTCTTTGTACCCTATGTCAGTTTTAAGTGACCACAGATTTTTTTTTTTAATACAGTGTCGAACTTATATAATTCATGTTTCTACCCATAGTTCTCCAAGTTAAGTGCTTCCTCTGCAGCTCTGGGTTAGGGTGGTGAGCCTTAGTTTCACTCTCTGTGCTCCCTTGCAGCCCTTTTAGAGTCACCCGTTTCCAAGATATCATTGCCTTTTTTGTCATCAGAACCTGATGTCAGCATTTTGTTCTCTTAGTTAATGCAGCAAAATGTATATGTTATCAGATGCAGTGATTGGGGTTTTCTATTCACTTCCCATCAGAACTAATCTGAATAAGGTGATTCTTTCATCCAGGTCACCTTTTCATCCAGTAAACCCATCTCCAGGGATTTATAACTATACCAGAAAAAGAAAAGGTTGTATGCCTGAGTATGTGCCTGGCTTAATTTTAATTGGTGTAAAATTGCTAGTGACACAAATAACAAGGGAATGATCATTGAAATTTCATATGATCTGGCTAGGATATGGTGCACCCATTAAAAATGATTATATTGAAGACTGCTACAACATAAGGAAATGCCTGCATTAGTCGGCTACAGCTACAAAACAAACAACCTTGAAATCTCAGTCATTAAATAATAAGCTTTTATTTCTCATTCATGCACTTTCAGATCAGCTGGATTTTGGTGGAGCTAGTTAGGACTGGTGGAACTTGGCTCCAGGCCATGAGTTGAGTTGGAGTTGGATTCACATATCTCAGTGGCTGGAGCACCACCCAGGGTACATTCTTTGTATGGAAATAGCAGAAACCTGAGAGAGTAAACCCAATGCTGGAAGTCCAGGTGCAGCCTCAGTGCACATCACAACTACTAACATTCCAAGTCACATGACCAAGGCCATATTATAGGGCTGGAAAATATCTCTACCTCTAACATTAGTAACTACAAAGGGTATAGATATAGACAGGTATGAAATATTGGGAACAATAATGTAGTCTACAGCAATATCTCACACAACAATTAAATGGAAAAAGCACACATATAGGATATAAAGTTGACAGCACAACTTGATCATAACTATGTGAAAATATTTTTCCATATCAACAAAGAATAGAAATAAAGAAGCAAAAATGAAAAAAAGTTACACCCAGATAACAAGATGATTTAAGAACTTTTTTTTTTTTTTTTGAGACAGAGTTTCACCCTTTGTTGCCCAGGCTGAAGTGCAGTGGTGCGATCTCAGCTCACCGCAACCTCCGCCTCCCAGGTTCAAGCAATTCTCCTGCCTCAGCCTCCGGAGTAGCTGGGATTACAGGCATGCGCCACCACACCCAGCTAATTTTGTACTTTTAGTGAAGACAGGGTTTCTCTGTGTTGGTCAGGCTGGTCTCGAACTCCTGACCTCAGGTGATCCACCCGCCTCAGCCTCCCAAAGTGCTAGGATTACCAGCGTGAGCCACTGCACCCAGCCTGATTTAAGAACTTTTAATTTTGCTTTTCTCCATTTCCATAATAATATTATATTACCCTTTTTAAGACTAAGTTTTAGAAGCTTCTCACAGCTTCTAAAGCTTCTCTTTTATCTTAGTTATTTCATTTAGTTAATTGCTTTATCCATCCATATTAAGACTTTGTAGAAAACATTGAGAATTCTAAGTACAACCCAGTTAGTCAATTATTCTTAGTCCCCACCAGTTCCTAATCTTACATTTGAATCTAACGAACTATCATCATAGATCCTTAATTTGACCTGTTGCCTAAAAACAACTGAGTTGCCTTTATTGTTCCCTTATTCTTCATTATTACAGTGTTAAAGATTATTCTCCACACTGACTTCTTTGAAATCGCTAACATTAGAAATTCATACTATTGAACAGAATCATTGTAGATTCTAGTTTTCTAAAAGCTACAAGTACAGTTCAGCAAATATTTACTGAGCACCTGCCGTGTGTCAGGCATCGTACTAGTTGCTCTACTCATCCTCTTACTCTCAAGGAGCTCACAGTCTTAATAGGAAGAGAAATGTGCACACATTTTTTGAGGACAGAAATAAGAAACTAGGAGAAGGGTTCAATGGTTCTCAACCCTTGTAACATATTAGAATCATTTGGACTTTTTTTTTAAGAGATAGAGTCTTGCTCTCTAACCCAGGCTGGAGTGTAGTGGTGTAATCATAGCTCACTGTAGCCTCAAACTCCTGGGCTCAAGTGATCCTCCCACCTTGGCCTCTGGAGTAGCTAGGACTAAAAGCATGCACTACCATGCCCAGCTAAGTTTTTAAAAAACATTTTTGTAGAGATGGGGTCTTGTTATGTTGCCCAGGCTGGTCTCCTGGCCTCAAGTGATTGCCCCCAACCTCAGCCTCTCAAAGTTCTGGTATTACAGGCACAAGCCACTGCACCCTGCCTGGACAACATTTAATAAATACTGATGCCCGAGCCTGTATCCAGACTTGCTAAGGTCAATTAGTCTGATGTCTGGCCTGATCACTGAATTTTTTTTTTTACGTTCCCTAGGAAATTGTAATGAGCATCCAGGGTTGAGAATCACTGAGTTAGTTATTCTACTTTCATCCTGATTGAGTTGTTTCACTAGACTAAGAACTGACAAAGACTCTCAAATTCAATATTTGAAACGATTCTTTACAAATCAATTATGTTATTAAAAATTATGTGATGCATGCATATATTTTAAAAAGTCAAATGGCACTAAGGCTTATGACTAAAATATAACAATTCCCTGTCCCACTCATACTCCTTCATACCCTGTTGACTTTGACTCTTTAAATTATTTTTATAGAATTCATACATCTCCTTACATCAGAATGTCAATGCACTGGCATCTTTTGCAAAACCGATTGCTGAACTTCATTTCCTCCTACCCAAAAATACCTTAAAGCCCCCAAGGAAAGGTCAAAAGGAAGAAACAGCAGGTAATTAGAGCAGTGGGAAGCAAGGGAGAGGTTTTTCTTTTCAATCCGTGCCTAGGTGCAGACTAGCCCTTCTAACGGGCCTAAGCAATTCAGAAAGGCAGCTAAGAGAGCTTCTCAAAACCCTGCCTGCTCTTCCACCTCTTGGGAGGCTGAGGGGCTTTATCTAAAATCATAACCAAAATTTCCACGTGTTCTCCTGGATTCAAGCCTCCCTAGAGTCAATCAAGTTATCCTAAACTTTTCTAGAAGTTAAAAAGTTTGGAAATAGGAATACTTCCAAAGCAATGTAAAAATCCTTGCAAAAGCAAGAGTAACTTGAAGAGCACAGAATTGGCTCAGCCATTTGAGGAGCTGACTAGAAAAAGGGAATTTTTATTTTATTTCTCATATGTATCATATACATTGGAAAGTTTCACTTAAGGAGATAGTAAAAGTTTAATTGAGGTAGTAGGCATTTGAACAAGGATGTGATTGACAAGTAAGGATTTCAAAGGTGGAGGGGACAGAAAAGGGTTTAAAGACTGAGAAAACGGCACAGGCACAGACCAAGAGTCAGGGATGTGTGTGGGTGGTGTTGGTGGTAAAGTTGCCACTCAGGGTCCCGGTAAACTCTGAGAGTTGGATTTAAAAATTAGCACCAAGTCATAATGGAAGAGATCAGAGATGTGCAAAGGCCTCTTATAGGAAGACTACTTTCCAGGCCAGAGTATAAGGCGTTTCTAGCCTACATGTGTGTATTCATATACGTAGAGAATAAATGTAGGCAAAAAATGTTGGGGGCAGTACAGAGAGGGTTGGTGGTGAACCTGGAAACTTTAGAAACCAAGACAGAGAAAAAAAAATTCATCTGAAGGCAGAGAATAATGAAAAACTAGTCATCCTTAGCATTCTAAATTTGCTTTAGCGGCCGGGCGCGGTGGCTCAAGCCTGTAATCCCAGCACTTTGGGAGGCCGAGACGGGCGGATCACAAGGTCAGGAGATCGAGACCAGCCTGGCTAATATGGTGAAACCCCATCTCTACTAAAAAAATACAAAAAACTAGCCGGGTGAGGTGGCGGGCGCCTGTAGTCCCAGCTACTCGGGAGGCTGAAGCAGGAGAATGGCATAGACCTGGGAGGCGGAGCTTGCAGTGAGCTGAGATGCGGCCACTGCACTCCAGCCTGGGCGACAGAGCGAGACTCTGTCTCAAAAAAAATAAAATAAAATAAAATAAAATAAATAAATAAATTTGCTTTAGCTTGTAAACCTGTAAACTAATTTGTCTAGTGCTTGTGATAAAAATATCTTTATTTTAGAAATGATTGCAATCTTATTTTATATTAAGTTGGTACAAAAGTAACTGCAGTTTTTGCACTTTTGAACCCACCTAATAGATATTGCAATAGTCTAATATGGCCTGAAGACTTTTAACATTTGAATCAAATTACTAGCTTCCCTTACTGTAAGGCTGTGTTCATATAATTTAGCTTCCTAAATTACTGTTGAGGGCATTGATTAGCAAAAGCATTTGACCCACTTATGACTATGGTCCTCAGTATAAATTAACAGAGTAGCATTTTCATTTATGCATTGGTCCTTTGTGAGCTTGATTAGCATAAAGCATCCCCAAGAAACTGATCTAGACTTGGTACAAAAAGGCAATCGAGTTCTGGACCTGGAAAGCTTGAGACCCATAGCCAGTATGAGGTGCCAGTCAACTGGCTACTTTTGAGACCTATCCAGTCAAAGATCCAGCCTGGAGGGCACCATACCACCACCCAAAAACTATGCCACATAGGCTGGGGTGCATGAGAAACACTGGGAGATGGAGATACAATAAGGGATGTAGTTGGGAGAGCAAGTCAAGGCATATTAATGAAAGTCTTGAAAACTGGTTAGGTTTGAAGGCCGTGGGGACTCACTGAAGATATGTTAGCAAGGTATTACATAAAATCAGTTCCCTATTTAAGGAAAACTTCTCTGTTTAATGGATGATAGCTGGATTGAATGGGAAAGCTGGAGACAGGGGACTAATTTAGTCTATTGTAATTGCATAGGTAGGAGGTGAAGGAGACTGTGAAAAGGCCAGTGGCATTGAAATAGAGTGGAAGGCTCAGCTCCAAGAGACATTTCTGTGGCTCCAGGCCATACTGATGTACCTTGATTTCCTCACTTGTAATATTAAAAGGGAGTCACTGCCACCTGTCTAGGAGAAAGGACTCTGCTCTTCCTGCCTTCCTCTATTATTTGTAATAATTTTCAGAAGGTTGCCCTCTTTTCATAAAGCAGGTAGAGGTGTTTAATAGCTCTTGAAGCAAAGCAGAGCTTATGAAATTCCTCTGACTGGTCGCATTCTGGACTAAGCCCAAACACGATAGTCCTCTCCAGGCCTGAAAATTGCTGAATACTGTCTAAAACAATGTGGCTTCCGCAAACACCAGTGGCCTGGCTAAATACAACCTCTGATGCTCTGTGGGTCTCAATTAATTCCATTGCTTTTAGCAGTGCAAGCTTATAGCGTCCTCTGTCCTCCCCTCTCCTGCACAGAATTGCTATATCTTTGGGCAGATAGCCACACTGGAACAGGCTGTGACATTTTCCTGCCACATAGTTAGCTATTTGTTCTGTTGTCAGATTAGTCTTTGTCTCACACACTCCAGGCAGACCCTGGGCACACATTGCTTCCTCATAGGCAGTCTCCCTGAACAATGCTAATGTGTCTGGAGATATGTTGGAGGGATGATTTTCTTTGATCCTCTTCATTTCTTCTTTCATAACATTTGCTATTTCCAGAGCACAGTGGATCCCACCGGTGATTGTTTTGCGAGGAAACTGAGCAGATGGAGGGGGAAGGCCACTGACATCTGCATGATGGATTTGAAAAGGGTCAAGAAAAAGCCAGAGAACCCCATGGTGAAGGTTTTCACTTCCAGCCCCCTTTGCCTTTGGATGGGTGATGTTCTTAGCCTTCACGTACCAATTGCCAAATTTGCTGCAAAAATTCTCAGTCTCATCCATCACTATGTGTTTAATCTTTAGAAACTCCCCTTGCATGAAAGTTTTCCGGGTCACAGCTTGGCAGGTGGTTTGTTGGCTGTAAGGATGGAAAAAACAAGGCTTGAGGCATATCACCAAAGAGAACATCAGCATTCATTACTCTCTGGAATGGAATCAGAGGCTGATTCTCTTCTGCAGACTGAGTCATTGATTCAGTAGTGTGAATACCACAAAACAGTTCTAATTACAAGTTACCTGACAGACCGAATGCATAATTTTACACCTTGCTCTTTGGGGTTATCCAGTTAAATCTGCATGTGAAATTTCTGAAATGAACCCAGGTCACAGATTGTATTATTTCTATTAGCAGTCTGTTCCTACTGTCTGGCAATCCTGAAGACAAGTTCATTACATCTAAAGGAAATCTCAAAGTTAAGTTACACCTCTTACTACCACTACCATTTCTTTACTTTCTATCCTCTTTAGAGCTGGAGAACAGTTACCTAGATGCATATCATAACTTTTATGTGCAAAAAAGCATGCACTAGTTCAAATTCCTCTAAAGCTTCTTTAGATTTGGGTAAGAAAAACATCAAGAGGATGCTGAGTTCCATGACACATCAAGTAGGGTGCCAAATCTACGGGGCTATGCCTCTTTGGAGCTACCTCATTTACTTAGCTCAATTTTCCTTTATAGTATGCTTTAGCATATATGTATTTTTTCTTAACAAATTTGGTTGGTTTTTGCCTCCTTTAATTTGGATCCAAGTAACATCACTCATCCCTACACATTCCATGATTTTACATATGCAGTTTCTAGGGCCTTTACTCCCTATGCCTTGAATCATAACTATGTTCTCTTCTGGTTTGGACTGTGTGGACTCAAATAAAAGCACTGATTCTTAGCCATCTTTGTATCCCTCTTACATTAAGGGTTTAATAGATATTTGTTGAGTTAGCCTTTTTACTGGAGTATTTTTAAACTTAGCTATAAATCTTAATAAAGAATGTAGTCCTCAGCACAGTCTACAGGATCCCTCATAATCTGGCATCTGCCTCCTTTTCAACATCACCACCTGCTATATACCCACACTCTGCACGACTCTAGTCGGACCTACCATTCTGGTTCTCTAGTGTCTCTATGTCTTTGTACTTGTTATGCCCTTTTCCTAGAAGGCCCTCCCACATTTGATTCACTTCTCCTGCTGACTTCTTAACAGTGTGCCCAATGGTCTCCTTCACTGGGGAATATTTGCCAACCAACCTCTAGCCTGTTAAAATGGGCATGAGACCAGGTACAGTGGCTCACGCCTGTAATCCCAGCACTTTGCAAGAAGGAGGTGGGCAGAACACTTGAGGTCAGGAGTTCAAGACCAGCCTAGCCAACATGGTGAAACCCCGTCTCTATGAAAAACACAAAAATTAGCTAGGCATGGTGAGGCACACTTGTAATCCCAGCTACTCAGGAGGCTGAGGCAGGAGAATCACTTGAATCCAGGAGACAGAGGTTGTAGCGAGCTGAGATCATGCCACTGCACTCCAGCCTGGGCGACAGAGCAAGACTCCGTCTCAAAAATTAATTAATTTATTTATTTATTTATTAAAATGAGCATGCCTTTATTATTATACAATACACACATGGTTTTTTTATGGCAAGGTCTTCAATATGTTTTCTCCTCTAACACTAAATGTAGCACAGTAGATACCATATCAACAGTGCTCAAAAAGATGTATTGAATAACAAAACCAAACCAAAAATCATAATGATTTCACCCTCATTTGCTGAATTCCATAATGACCAATTCATTTTACTAAATTAAAAGTTAGAGATTTAAATCAGAAGTGAATTTGTATATTTTCTCAAATTACTGATTTTACAAGTCAAAAATGAAAATATTTTATGAACAAAATCAAGCTGTATTTAAATTTAAGTTTCGCTAGGTACAATGTCTAATTAGCAGAAATACCCTATGACTTTAAGACATTACGTATCAAACAAAAAGTATACTTAAAGCAGAATGGGTTCATTTCTACTTCTCTTAAATTTAAGGCTAAGGATTGTGAAAAAAGAAAGTTTCTGGTTCTATAAATTTAAGTTATGCACATGTGGGTTATTTATAATGAGATGTTTAAGGTTGAACATTCTAAATTACCTGTTTACAGCTCAATTCTGTGATTATTTGGAAATGTGTATATAGTTTGGGCTTGCACTTATGCAGCTGAGGCACTAAAAAACTTAAACTAAAAACACAAATTACTTTTGTGACACTCTTGAAAAGACTGACTAAATACATTTGTGTGTGTGTGTAGTTGGTAAAACTCTTACGTCACAAAATCCTTTAGGGAGTCACTTTCACAAACATAGAGGATTTCTTTTGGTTTGCAGTGAAACAAGTCCTTAATTTTCTCCATGATCTTTATGGCTAGGGCTGTCTTCCTGATTCCTGGAAAGCAGTGGATGAATAATTCACGTGTCTCCTGAAGACTCTCAGAAAGCAACTGGCTCTGCTCCATTATGAGCAAGTTGAAAAACTCACAGCCCAGCTGGTCACTCAGAAGAGATCTGGAGCACAGGCAGACCACCACAAGAGCCTGTAGCAAGTCTTCCATTTCCTCCTCATCAGCAAGACTGTAGGACCTGGGGTAGCGCAGCGGGATATCACCAGCTCTACTCTGTGTGCTGGTCAGGTGTATCAGCCTTGGAATGATGCACACTTTCCCTGTGTAACCACCAACAGCTTGCAGTTTCTGCTTTAACTGATGAGCTGTGTTTCGGGCATATTCAAGTCCTCCAAGCCAATCGGGGTCTATTAAGATTGTATAGAGTACCATGGGGCTGTTAACTGCTATTAGGAGAGCATCACACAGGACATTCTGTTCTTTCCTGAAGCCAACATCACCAGCCCAGCTTCTAGAAAATATCACAATCCCCCGAGAACAAGGATGTATCAGGGTCTTCATTAATCCCTCCAGTTCTTTATGATCTGAGAACAGCTTCTTACAGAGGGATTCTGGTTTAAATTGTACCTCTTGCTGTGTCACTGAAAATTCAAGGAATAGATGTTACCAAAACTTACAAAAGCATATGGTAAGTATTCCTGCAACATTGCAGAAAAAAAGTGATACCTGGTGCACTTGGGAAAATAAGAGCTTTCCTTTAGAATTGTGATTCTTAACCAGGAGCAGTTTTATTCCCCAACTCTCCCCCATCCCCAAGGATATTTGGCAATGTCTAGAGAATATATATATATATGTATTTTTTTAGATGGAGTCTCGCTGTCACCCAGACTGGAGTCCAGTGGCGTAATCTTGGCTCACTGCAGTCTCTGCATCCCTGGTTCCAGCGATTCTTCTCCCTCAGCCTCCAGAGTAGCTGAGATTACAGTCACACGCCACCACACCTGGCTAATTTTTGTATTTTTAATAGAGACAGGTTTCACCATGTTGGCTAGGTTGGTCTTGAACTCCTGACCTCAGGTGAGGTCACCCGCCTCAGCCTCCCAAAGTGCTGGGATTACAGGCATGAGCCACCGTGTCCGGCCTGAGAATTTTTTATTGTCACAATTGGAGGGGAGCTACTGGTATGTAGTAGGTACCAGCCAGAATGCTGCTAAGTATTCTACAATTCACAAGACTCTCCCTCCCCCAGCAAAGAGTTATCTGACTCAAATGACAATAGTGCTAAGGTTGAGAAACCCTGCTTCAGAAGAAGTTCAGATAACCCAATAGTTCCTTCTCCATTGGAAAGCCAGGGGGCAGTTTTTTGATGGTTGAGACCTGAGAAATTCCCTGCACTCTCAAATTTGGAAAACAAAAGCCATATGTTATGAGAAGTTGGAAAGCACACAGAAATAGTAACAGTGGGAATCAGATGACTGGAAACAAGGGTCAAATATATAGATATATAGATATTATCTATCATATATATCTATAAGATATAGATATATATGTGTGTGTAAAATTTCAGGATCATTATGTCTGCTAAGTCCTTCATTTGACCTTCTCTAAGGAGAAACACTTGAACTCATTGCTACTAATACCTCCCAACTCAATTTTAGAAAACAAATAGTCCCCTAAGTTGAAATCAAGAGGGAATGAATACCTGGAAACAAATGTCGTTGCAGACCCTCCTTAAATTCATGGACTTTTATGGGATATCCAGGACTTTTTCGTGCAGATGAAGCTGATGAAATCAAGTAAGAGTTGTAGTCTGTGGCCAAGCTGGAAGGAGCTAGACAATTACATGGAAAATTGTTTCAAACAAAAAATAAAAAGTAAAAAAAAAAAAAAGCCTCTTTTTTTGGCTCTTATTACTGGAGACCTGTGATGTGCATGGGTGCCTGAGCCGTCATACTTACTGTGCCTCAGACCGCTCACATATGTCAGGAAAGGAAGTCTGGGGATTTCTGCAGGGGACATATCATACATATTCTAAGTCACTGTGTGACTCGGCTTGGGCAAGTCATTTCACCTCTCTCTCACGCAGGAGTGAAGTAATAATCCCTCAGGTTCATTTCAATTACAATATTCTGACTCCAGGTTGTCTCTAAGAAGAAAAAGCATCTAGTGGGGATCAGCAAGGATTAAAGCACAGTATTTGAAAAATGGTGTTGGCCAGGTGTGGTGGCTCACACCTGTAATCCCAGCACTTTGGGAGGCTGAGGTGGGTGGATCACCTGAGGTCAGGAGTAAAAGACCGGCCTGGCCAACATGATGAAACCCTGTCCCTACTAAAAATACAAAAATTAGCTGGGCATGGTGGTGCGCCTGTAATCCCAGCTACTCGGGAGGCTGAGGTGGGAGAATTGCTTGAACCTGGGAGGCAGAGGCTGCAGTGAACTAAGATCGTGCCACTGCACTCCAGTCTAGGTGACAGAGCAAGACCCTGTCTCAAAAAAAAAAAAAAAAAAAAAGTTGTTACAGTTATTTATGTCCCCATCTAAGGTTAGATGGAATCCAAAGTGCCAGGATCTTTGGGGGAGAGGAGGAGAGAAGTGAACTCAAACAAATTTAAAACAAGAGAAAGAATGACCCAGTAAAATTCTCTAATCACTCAAGTCTTGATCAAATTTGGAACACACTGGCCGTGAAGGCAAGCAGATAATCCATAAAGGACTATAGGCTTAGTTCGCATCTTCTTTTGCATCATTTTCCCCCACTTGGTGGTGCCCTAAGCCCAGTGGCTTAAGGTTATTAGCTCCTAATGTTACTGAAACAGTTCAAATTTGTCAACAATGTTTTGCTTGAAAGAATTAGTGGAATAGTGGAGTCATTTTTTTTTTTTTTTTTTTTCCAGACAGGGTCTTGCTCTGTTGCTTAGGCTGGAGTGCAGTGGGTGATCTCGGCTGACTGCAACCTCTACCTCCCAGGCTCAAGCAATTCCCCCCACCTCACCCTCCCATGTAGCTGGGACTACAGCGGTACACCACCACGCTTGGCTAATTTTTATATTTGGGGGAAAGATGGGCTTCACTATGTTGGCCAGGCTGGTCTCAAACTCCTGGGCTCAAGCAATCTGCCCACCTCGGCCTCCCAAAGTGCTAGGACTGCGTCTGGCCTCGGAGTCAGTCTTTTTTTTTTTTTTTTTTTTTTTTTTTTGAGGCGGAGTCTCGCTCTGTCACCCAGGCTGGAGTGCAGTGGCCAGATCTCAGCTCACTGCAAGCTCCGCCTCCCAGATTCACGCCATTCTCCTGCCTCAGTCTCCCGAGTAGCTGGGACTACAGGCGCCCGCCACCTCGCCCGGCTAGTTTTTTGTATTTTTTTTTTTTAGTAGAGACGGGGTTTCACTGTGTTAGCCAGGATGGTCTCGATCTCCTGACCTCGTGATCCGCCCGCCTCGGCCTCCCAAAGTGCTGGGATTACAGGCTTGAGCCACCGCGCCCGGCTCGGAGTCATTCTTAAACAGTGTTTCTCTAGAATATCATCTCTAAAATGAGGTTATTCCAATTTTGACTGGGATGATCAGCCTACACAATTTTTTCAACAGGTTTATAGAGAATAAAAGGAGACCTTTCCTAACTCATAGCTGATGGCATACTGTAACTTTCCTTTAAAAGTTGCTTAGGCTGGCCAGGAGTGGTGGCTCATACCTGTAATCCCAGCACTTTGGGAGGTTGAGGTGAGTGGATCACGTGAGGTTAGAAGTTCAAGACCAGCCTGGGCAACATGGCGAAACCCCATCTCTATTAAAAATACAAAAATTAGCCAGCATGGTGGCGTGTGCCTGTAATCCCAGCTACTTGGGAGGCTGAGGCAGGAGAATCACTTGCAGCTGGGAGGTGGAGGTTGCAGTGAGCCAAGATCACACCACTGCCCTCCAGCCTGGGTGACAGAGTCTTAAAAAAAAAAAAAAAAAAAAAAAAAAAAAAAAAAAAAAAGTTGTTTAGGCCATAGAATCCAAACGTTTCTTGACCTCAAATGGTTTATATTCTGAGTCTTTAGAACTAAAAATGTTAGATAAGGAACACTGTAATGGGAGAACACTTATAAGCAAATATAAATTTCTATTTTTTTTAACTAAAATATACGATCAAATATCCACAAAAGGCAGAGAAAGGGGTTCCTCCCTGCTGATGGGGACAATGACTTCACTTCCCTTTACCTGACTGAGTATCCAGCATCATGACCACCCACTGCTCAGCTGTCAGCCGTGTGACAGAATTGTCTTTCATGATCCAGGAATCTGGGGCCTCTGCAAACACCACGCAACAGAAGGGCTCCACTTGAATCACACAGACATAACCATCCAGGACATCTTTTTGGTACACATTCAGGATTTTTGTAGTGAAATTTACCTTTGGCTTCTCACAGCAGAAGTGGAATGTAGGCAATTTTTCAATGCAGTTTTCGATTTCTTTTTTTAATAAATCAGGATTCACTTTTTCCCACTTACATCCAACCACTTCTTTGCTCTTATCATCCACCCCAATGAGGACATATCCCCCTTGAGTGTTGGCAAATGCAGAAACATAATGAGGCAGCATTTCTTTAATCCGAGGTATGACCTTTTTGGTGGTGAACCTTTTAAATTCGACATGTGTTGACTCAGTAAAGTTGAGTTTCTCCTTATACATGAGTCTGTCCTTTTTAAAAAACTCTGAGGCCAATATCCTCATATCTTCCTCTTCCTGAATGTATCTATCGAGAACCTGCTGAGGATGCAACTTCTTCACCCTTGGTCTTCCTCTTTGGGCTCTAAAACATTTCTCTCTGAGAAGCTCCAGGGCACTGCTAGCACTCAAGTTGATAGCAGAAGTCACATCTCTCTGATATAAATTGGAGCGCAAGCTGCAAATCCTTAGTGGGAGGCTGAAAACATCTGGGCTCCATGACTTCACAAAAATGAGGAGATTGTGCCCCTGCTGCATGTAGTCAAGGTATTTCTGTGAACCTGAAGGAAGGAGCTTTTGAAAAGAAGTTTCCAAATCCTGTCCCAGCCCATGGCATTGGTAACTATAGGTTTTATCATCAATCTCTGCTTTGATCACACCACCTCCAGAATTTAACAGTGCACATATAGCCCGGATAATTCTAGAATTCTCAGATCTTTTCAAATAGCTGTTGGTCATCTTCTTCCTGTTTTCTTCCCCAAAAATCACTTTGCCCACATCTACTATTACCTCAGGATAGGGCATTTCAGTATCAGTCTTGAGACTCTCCATTTCAGCAGCCCCTCTGTGCTCCAAACAATAAAAGAAAGGAGTTCCTATAATCAGGATAGAAATGTTTCTACATTAACAAGAATTCCAAAGATTACATTATTTTCTTCAAAACTATCAATTACTGGAGATACATTTTAATGTTGGAAATCATCTCTCTATATATGTATATTTGTTGTTGTTTGTTTGTTTGTTTTGGGTTTTTAGGGTTTGTTTGTTTGTTTTTGAGACAGGATCTTGCTCTCTTGTGCAGCCTGGAGTGCAGTGGCGCAATAATAGTTGGCTGCAACCTCAACCTCCCAGCTCAAGTGATTCTCCAACTTTAGTCTCCCTAGTAGCTGAGACTACAGACACGTGCCATGCCTGGCTAATTTTTCTTTTTCTTTCTTTCTTTCTTTCTTTTTTTTTTTTTGAGAGAGAGATGGAGTCTTGCTGTGTTGCAATCCTCCTGCCTGGACCTCCCTCCCAAAGTGCTGGGATTACAGATGTGAGCCACCACACCCAACTGGAAATTATCTTTGGTACTGCTGTTTTCTAATCATTTTGCCAAATATCCTTAGCCTTGCCAGAATAAGTAGGCATAGATAAAGGTGAATGCTTAATATTTGTCATAATGGAAAAATTAAATTGCTAACATTTTCAGCCGTTTTGCATTTCAAATCAGTAAACACCAACACTGAGCCTGGATGTAAAGGGCATGGGTTGGCACAGGAGCCCAGGAAGGTATTAAAGAATATGCAGAAATAGAAGTCAAAGTGAGAAGATGCTCTTATTTATAATTCAAAAAGGGAAGAAAGGAAGGCACTAGAGAACTAAGGAAGTATCATTTTATAGTATATGTACTGTAGAAGATCTTGCTATAAACACAAACATAGGCTGGGTGTGGTAGCTCACAATCTGTAATCTCAGCACTTTGGGAGGTGGATGTGAGAGGATTGCTTTCGGCCAGAAGTTGAGACCAGCATGGACAACATAGCAAGACCCCATCTCTACAAAAGATTTTTAAAATGTTAAACATTAGGCAGGTATAGTGGTGCACACCTGCAGTCCCAGCTACCTAGGAGGCTGAGGTGGGAGGATCTCTTGAGCCCAGGAGTTTGAGGCTGCAGTGAGCCATGATCGCACAACTGCACTCCAGCCTGGGTGGCAGAGTGGGACTCTGTCTAAAAAAATGAAAATAAAAGTAAATAAATAAAATTCGGTATTTTTATGTAGTATTTCATGCACTTTGAAAAGCTTTATTTTACTCCTGAAAGAATGTCATTTGATACCAAATGCAGAAACCTTTTTAACTCTTCACATGTTCTAAATCTCAAAAGTACATTTCTTCATATATAGTGTGATGTGAGAGCAGCATTTTCCTTTCCTTCTAATAGTTCTGCCCTGTGCTGCGGAAACCCCTAAGACTTGGAAAAGAACACGAGCTTTTGGGGCATGGTCACTAAACTATTGTCACTCTTCTTTTGCTTCCTAGACCAGAAAACAACCACCTAAACTGAAATTTGAGCTCTGAAACAAATATTTTAGAAAAGATCCCCTTACCTTTAGTTAATTGCAAAACAAAATATTTGCTAACTCAACCAAAATTATTCCCCTAGGAGAAGAGAATCCATCTTTCTGCATGATCTTTGCAAAGCAGGGGCCCTGTGGGTGTTGTACGTACTCACCAGGAGGAAGAAAGCAGGCATCCGGCAAGAAATGTGCACTCCTCTGACATCAGTTTGTTCTTGGTTGCCTTCTCACTTCCTTCAGGAAAACCAGAGTCGACCTGGGGAATTGTTTTTAGAATGTGAGCCTCTTCTATAGGTACATGTAAATGTAGTCTTTTATGGCTCCTTAGGGAAATTTCCCATAACATTCTATTTATATCATAGAATCACAGAAGTATTAGAAAGGACTTTAAAGAGCCTCCGGTCCAACAATCTATCGGATTCTAAAATCTCCTCTATAATATTCCCAACTCCCAACAAGTTGCTATGCAAACCTCCAGCGATGAGCAACTCACTACCTATCAAATAGTCCCTCTTGTCTCTCCTGTTCTCTGACATCTGTGTTAGAAATGGTCTCCTTACTTTAAGCTGCAGTTTGTCTCCCCATAACTTCCACTGATGGGACCCACAAAACAAATCTAATTGATTTTGAACTAGCAGACCCTATGGTCTCGTGACTCCTAAGTCTCATCAATGTTATTTGAATACTGATAACAATTATGATAAATACAACATTTACTGAGGTTCTAGCTTCAGATGAATATCCTTTCCACATTTCCCAGAATTTTTTTTTTCTTTTTTTGAGACAGAGTTTGGCTCTGTGCCCATGCTGGAGTACAGTGGCACGATCTCTCCGCCCCTCAGGTTCAAGCGATTCTCCTGCCTCAACCTCCAGAGTAGCTGGGACTACAGGCAAGAGCCACCACTCTCGATAAATTTTTGTATTTTTAGTAGAGATGGGGTTTCACCACGTTGGCCAGGCTGGTCTCGAACTGTTGACCTCGGGTGATCCACCCACCTGAGCCTCCCAAAGTGCTGGGATTACAGGGATGGGCCACCATACCCGGCCTTCCCAGAATTTTTTTACTCATTTTCCTTCACAAATTTTCCCTTAAATACATTTTACTAATCCCTCATGCCCTTAGACGTAGACTGCACCTAAAATTAGATAAATGGGGAAAAAAAAGAATTTTTTTTCTTTTTTTTTTTTTTTTCTTTTTTACCTATGTTCTTGTGTTTCCTCTCGCTGCTTCAGTTTCACATCTGGCTGTAGTCTGAATGTTTGCCTCTGTCACAGCCCCTTTTGCCCTTCGATATTAGCCTGGGAGGAGCAGACTCCCCACTTCTTCATAACACTGACATACTGAGGAAGGCTGATAAGGACTCATGAAGAGCCTGTGACAGGGCAGATTAGCAGGCCAGGGTCTGACCTCAGGGAGTGAATGAGGTCGTAATGAGAAAATGCAAGGGTGAAAGGCAAAAGTTAAACTTAGCACTTCTAAGAGACTGAGCTTCATTTCCACATATCATACAAGTACCTTCAGCCCTGGAAAATTTTGTGTGCAAAGCTCTATTTTTATTTTCAATTAAGCTGTCCTGTACATACTCATTGTGGGCAATATTAACCTATTAAATTACCTTCTAAATGGTTTGTTCTATTCTATTTAATTTTATTCTTTTTCCTACTTTTCATCTTTGTTAAACACAAGACCCAGCCTAGAAAAATCCTCATAGATTAGGAGCTGGCTATCCCTGGGTAGGAGGATTAAAGGTAATTTTTCCATTTATTTTTCTTCCCTTCATTATCTTTAACTGATCTGTATTTTTAATGGTTCATAATGAGTATAAATTGTTTTTCATAATTAAAAAACAAATGGTAAAAACCAACAGATGGGCTGGGCGTGGTGGCTCACACCGATAATCCCAGCACTTTGTGGGGCCAAGGTGGGTGGATCACCTGAGGTCAGGAGTTCAAGACCAGCCTGACCAATATGGTGAAACCCTGTCTCTACTAAAAATACAAAAATTAGCCTGGCATGGTGTTGTGTGCCTGTAATCCCAGCTACTGGAGAGGCTGAGACAGGAGAACTGCTTGAACCTGGGAGACAGAGGTTACAGTGAGCCGACATCGTGCCACTGTATTCCAGCCTGGGCAACAGAGCAAGACTTCAACTCAAAAAAATAAAAGAAAAGAAACAAAGAAAGAAAAAAGAAAGAAAGAAAAAGAAAACCCAACAGATGCTGGGGGCAGTGGCTCATGCCTGTAATCCCAGCATTTTGGGAGGCCGAGGCAGGAAGATCACCTGAGGTCAGGAGTTCAAGACCAGCCTGGCCGACACGGTGAAACCCCGTCTCTACTAGAAATACAAAAATTAGCTGAGCATGGTGGTGGGCGCCTGTAATTCCAGCTACTGGGGAGGCTGGGACAGGAGAATTGCTTGAATCCGGGAGGCAGAGGTTGCAATGAGCTGAGATCGTGCCACTGCATTCCAGCCTGGGCAACGGAGCAAGACTCTGTCTCAAAAACAAACAAACAAACAAAACAAAACAAAAAAAGAAAAAAACAGATGCTGGGCACAGTGGCTCATGCTTGTAATCCCAGCATTTTGGGAGGCCAAGGCAGGTGGATCACGAGGTCAGGAGTTCAAGACCAGCCTGGCCAACATGGTGAAACCCCATCTCTACTAAAAATACAAAAATTAGCCGGGCATGGTGGCCGGCGCCTGTAATCCCAGCTACTCAGGAGGTTGAGGTAGGAGAATCACTTGAACCTGGGAGGCGGAGGTTGCAGTGAGCTGGGATTGCGCCACTGCACTCCAGCCTCCAGCCTACGAGACAGAGCAAGACTCCATCTCAAAAAAAGAAAAAAAACAACAACAGATGGGAGGCAGTTAGTTATCTCATTTGAGGATGGTGGCTAAACTGGGTCAAGCTTTGATACACACAAAAGGGGAGGAGGCAATGTGATCATAGAAGCAGAGACTGGAGTGAAGCAGCTATAAGTAAAGGAACGCCAGCAGCTACCAGAAGCTGGAAGAGTATCCCCTCTTCCAGCATGTCCATGGCAACACTTTATTTTATTTTATTTTTCTTTTCTTTTCTTTTCTTTTTTTTTTTTTTTGACAGAGTCTTGCTCTGTTGCTCAGGCTGGAGTGCAGTGGCGTGATCTCGGCTTACTGCAACCTCTGCCTCCTGGGTTCAAGCAATTCTCCCACCTCAGCCTCCAGAGTAGCTGGGATTACAGGTGCGCACCACCACGCCTGGCTAATTTATGTAAGTTTAATAGAAGCAGGGTTTCGCCATGTTGCCCAGGATGGTCTCGAACTCCTGACCTCATGTGATCTGCCTGCCTCAGCCTCCCAACGTCCTGGGATTACAGGTGTGAGCCACCATGCCTGGCCCATGCCAACACTTTAATTTCAACTCAGTGAAACTGATGTTGAACTTCTAGCTGTTCAAAAAACAAAAGCAAAAACAAAAACAACAAAAATAACCAAATGAATGGAGCTAGAGGCCATTATCCTTAGCAAACTAATACAGGAACAGAAAACCAAATACTGTATGTTCTCACTTATAACTGGGAGCTCGATGATGAGAACACATAGACACAAAGAGGGGAACAACAGATACTGGGACCTACCTGAGGTTGGAGGGCGGGAGGAGGGAGAGGAGCAGAAGAAATAACTATTGGATAGTAGGCTTAATACCTGGGTAATTAAATGATCTGTACAACAAACCCCCGTGATGTGAGTTTACCCGTATAATAAACCTACACATGTACTCCTGAACCTAAAATAAGCTTTCATAAAACAATACGTTTCTGTTGTTTTTTTGTTTTGTTTTGTTTTGTTTTGTTTTGAGATGGAGTCTCACTCTTTCGCCCAGGCTGGACTGCAGTGGTGTGATCTCGGCTCACTGTGAGCTCCGCCTCTCGGGTTCAGGCCATTCTCCTGCCTCAGCCTCCCAAGTAGCTGGGACTCCAGGCGCCCGCCATCGCGCCTGGCTAATTTTTTGTATTTTTAGTAGAGATGGGGTTTCACCGTGTCAGCCAGGATGGTCTCGATCTCCTAACCTCATGATCTGCCCACCTCGGCCTCCCAAAGTGCTGGGATTACAGGCGTGAGCCACCGCGCCCAGCCTCGTTTCTGTTGTCTTAAGCCACCAAATTTGTGGTGATTTGTTACAGCAGCCACAGAATACTAATATACCTCTCTCCCTCTAAATCAAACCAGCAAACTACTCTGTGTCTCTACTTCAATTCGTTTATGATGAAATGACATCCTTAAATAAGTCTCTGGACATCCCTATTTTTGTCATCGTCGTTAGCTGAGGCCACTGCCCTACAAAGTTCTGCTCTGCTGGCATCACTCCTTGTACATGTTTGGCTAAATGGAGTTTCCAGGAGAGGAGTCAGAATGGGTACTATGATGTATAATTCGCACAGCAACATAAAAACCTCCAAAGGCCTGCTCTCAGCTTTGACTTTAACTCATTTTTTATTCGTGTCACTTCTGAATCCAGTCTCACTTTTAATTCTCCTGTTTACCTTAATTCTTAGCCTCACTTTCATATTGAAATCCCTCTGATATTATTTACATTTCAAAGGCTAAAAATGACCACCATTTACTGAAAATATGCTTACCAGATGCAAGAGACAATGCTGGGAGCACTACACATCACACAAAAACTGAGACTATATGGCCAGTGAGTGGAAGAGTGAAGATTCAAAACTAGGTCTGTCTAATTCAAAGACTTGTATTCTTTCACTCTTTCAAGTCTGGGATCCTGGATTGCTTGAAAGCCTTCAAAATCAGAAGTCTTATAAGTATCTCCCCATTTTCTTCCCAGTCAAGAGGAATAACATCATTTGGTCAGGAGAACTAGGAACTAGATTACTGTTTTCTCCTTGTTCTTCTGCAGGGTAGTACTGGGGATCAAATCAGGAGAAGCAGGGAATAACGTGGAAAATGAGCAATGGGAACTTCTTTTCCTTCTTCAAAGCTCCTTAGTCAAGTCCCTTGGTTATGAATAGTTAGGTTGTCAGGCCAGGGAGGACTTCACATCTTGGCTTTGATAGCTCCCAAGCAAATGTTCCTGATACAAAGCAATTTGAAATTAGTAACTTAGATCATGCTTTTTCCTGTCTCAGGAAAATTCATCTGGCCATGCTATTGATGATTGCTAAGAACAAGAACCCCAAATTTATTTAAGATGTGTTTATTCACTGAGCATTTCTGTTTATCAACAGTTGTACTTATGTTCACCAGACACAAGCCTGCATGTTCATCAGACATAAACTGTCAAATAGCAACTAAAGGGGAAAAGTTGGTCTCTTTACCCGCAGGTGCCTCCATCTCACCTCAGTTCTTTCATAGAGATGATCCAAAGAGTATAAATAGAATAGTGACCAAGGGCTCCATTATGCCACTACCTGACTCCGTGTAAGTTTCCTCACTTTCATTCATTCTTTCATTCAATCAGCTATTTTGGGGCGCCTAAGGTGTTCAAATCCCAGCTCTGCCACATTCTAGCTATGAGAACTTTGTTAAACTAACCTAAGCCTCTGATTTCTTCTGTGTAAACTGGAAATAATAACAGAGCCTCCTCCACAGAATATTTGTCAGAATGAAGTGAGATGATATACATAAAGAGTAAATGTGTATTGTCATGTGCTCTTTGCAGCATATGGTGCCCAGCATGTACTGTCATTTTCATTCAATAATCAATTGTTGGCTTAGCACAGTGGCTCACGCCTGTAATCCCACACTTTGGGAGGCCAAGGCAGGCAGATCACTTGAGGTCAGGAGTTCAAGACCAGCCTAACCAACATGGTGAAATCTCATCTCTACTAAAAATACAAACATTAGCGGGGCATGGTGGCACGCGCTTGTAATCCCAGCTACTTGGGAGGCTGAGGCATGAGAATTGCTTGAACCCAGGAGGCGGAGGTTGCAGTGAGCCGAGATTGCACCACTGCATTCTAGTCTGGGTGACACAGCAAGACTCTGTCTCAAATAATAATAATGATAACCAATTGTTGAGCACTTACAATGTTCTAAACATGGTGCTACAATTTAGGGCTACCCATCAAAATAAAAGCTTGCCTTCCTTGAGCCAAATATGCAACTTTCATTCTCAAATATAATCCTCAGAATAACTTGCAAGACATGCATTATTTCACATTACATAAATGAAAAAAACTGAGTTCATTGCGGTAAAGCTCAAAGTTACACATCTCGTAAGTAGCAGAGCTGAGAGTTGAACACTGATCTATCTGAATCCAAAGCCCAATTACTCTCATCCTGCCACATAGCCTTAGCATTAGC